CCCCCCCCCCCCCCCCCCCCCCCCCCCCCCCCCCCCCCCAGAGCAAGTTACAGAGAAGGATTTGGAGCAGTTAAAAGTTGAAAACATGTACAACAAAGCTACATGTTGGTTATGGGTGCCTACGTATACAATAAGAAGAGTGGTAGAGAAATATACATGTTTTCCAATGAAACGTATGCAATTCAGGAGAATGGTCCCTCTGGGAAGGATAAGAGGAAGGAACTGATGTCAGGAGAGTACCCAAGGGACAGTATGTGCTGGGGGTAGGGGGGTTTCTTTCTCAAAAAAAAAGTATGTAGAAAACATGAGAATACATTTGGGTTTGCTAGAATGGAATTTGGGCATGTGGGGCTTTCTTTCCCCCGTATGTTTAAAATATTTCATAATTAAAAAAATAAGTTCCCCATTTTCCACTGGCTGAAGAAACTGTATCTTCAAAATGCACTACTGTTGAGCCGATAGGGAAACAAGTGATTAAAAAAAATTTTTTTTTCCAATATTTACTTTTGAGAGACAGAGCTCAGGCAGGGAAGGGGCAGAGAGAGGGACACACAGAACCCGAAGCAGTTCCAGGCTTGGAGCTGTTCGCACAGAGCCCGACATGGGGCTTGAACTCACGGACCGTGAGATCATGACCTGAGCCGAAGTCAGATGCTCAACCAACTGAACCATCTAGGTGCCCCAGGAAACAAGTGATTTTACAAGAAGACTTGTGGGGGCTCCTGGCTGGCTTAGTAGGTAGACTGTGCGACTTTTGATCTCCAGGTCACGAGTTCAAGCTCCACGTTGGGCGGAGAAATTACTTAAAAAAAACAGAAATGACACGTGGACCAAATAAAGGAGGTCCAGAAGATGAATAGAGATGCCTGCACCCTGGTTATGCTTCAGGCACATTGTAAATCTGTAATTTTAGGTAACCGTTTGAACCCCAATGTCTTCATCCCTAAAGTGGGGTTAATCTCTCTTGCCTCCTTCACAGGGATGTAGTGAGAGTAATTGAGGCTATCATAATTGAAGCAAGAAGTGGTCGTTGGAATAATTGCTGCTAATGACTGAGCAGTTACTGTGTTTTCAAACAGGCAGTAAACATTCATTATTTATTTTAAGGCTGATAACAACTCTATGATGTAGGTATTATTTTCAGTGCGGTTGTGTGTGTGTGTGTGTGTGTGTGTGTGTGTGTGTGTGTGTGTGTGTGTGT